TTAAAGTGCGACTAATACTTCACACGATTTTGATTCTATGCCTCTGCTTATACAACCAAGGGTGTATTCACTTTTTTAACCGCTGCAGCACACCGCTGGCTCGTCTTGAAGTGATCGTCCATTAGCACTCCAAGGCCCCTCTCATAGTTACTGTTTTTGAGCCAGGTTTCACCTCATCTGGTATTTGTACCTTTGGTTTTTCCTGCATGGATGTAAAATCTTGCTTTTCTCCACATTAAATTTCATTTTGTTGGATGGGAATTTTTTTTCTGTTTTTAAAAATTTGGATAGGAAACATTTTGTCAGGAATGTGTTTTCCTGGTCTCGCTAGCACCAGTGGAAAGATGGCAGCTAACAAGTCATAGAATTCAGTGCAAGTAAGAATGTTATTAACTGAATAACAGAATTGGAAGAAACCTTGGAGGTCTTCTAGTTCAACCCCTACTTAAGCAGGAAACCCTATAGCTGTGATGGCGAACTTATGGCACATGTGCCACAGGTGGCACACAGAGCCCTCTCTGCAGGTATGCCAGCCATCGCCCCATCCCAGCTTCATTGCACATGTATGTGCACCTCCCAATGGCCAGCTGGTCATTGGGTCTCTGCTGCACATGCGTGGGGGGAAGAGCCTGCATTGTATTTCGAAGGTGTGTGTGTGCCCCACCACCACCCCGCACCCTGTTTTGGGCTTGGAAGGCTTGCACCAACCTTGATTCCAAAAATGGGTGAGGGGGGGCGAGTTGCATGCGCGAGGGGTGTGCACGTATGTGCGGCAGTGGGTTGCATGTGTGGGGAACGATGCATGCACAGGAGCCCCTCGCCTTTTATTTTGAGGTTGTGTGTGCGCGCACACACATGCACACTTTGGGCACTTGGCACCAAAAAGGTCAGCCATCACTGCACTATACCATTTCAGGCAAATGGTTGTCCCATCACTTCTTAAAAACCTCCAGTGTGGAGCACTCACCATTAAACATTCAAAGAAAAGACCATGCCAAACTACATCCCTTCAATTTGTCTGGACCTTCAGAACAACAGCAGGTGTACCTCTGAAGGTGTATCAGTTGGCAGTGGTATAATACCTTTCTTTATGTCTTTAAGTCTATGATAGGTTCACAAAGAGGGGCCTCTTGTCTCCAGCAATAGAGGTATAAACAACCCAACACCTGCAGTTGGCCTAGTGGCACATCTTAGTAATGATTTGGTCATAATTCAAACATTTGATACACTACCGGGGATATTTTTGAGTAAAACTTGGTCTCCATTCCCCAACACCTGGAGATATTCTGATGACATGTCTTATAATAACTTGAGTACCCAGATCCCTGACCCTCTGCCATGTGACATTACTTCTGACATTTCTCTACTTTATCCTCTCTAGAGGTATCATACTAGAGAACGTTGTTTTCTTGATCTTAATTGTCACAAGCATCAACACAAATAAAGAGATGAAAGGCAAGACTGATTTACAAATACAGTGATGCAATCTGCAAAGTTTGTTAAGAAAATTGTTTGAAGCATGGATGAGCAGGAAATTAAAATACAAAATTTGATTGAAGAAATGATTAATGTTGCCATCGTATCAGGGCAGACCAAAAATGTAGATGACATCATTAATAACTCACCAACCTTGTCCAATGATGGAGCAGGTTTCTCTGATTCCTACCAGGAAATCTTTAAACCCATGGTAATGCAACTACCATCAGCTCCAGAGAAAAGGCAATTCAGTTATGCTGTTTACTCAAGAGGAAGCAAATGGAAATTCTTCCTTCAATAGCTTTACTGGCAGGAATACATGCATTAAAGACTGGTAACATTGACCTGCATGAACATTACTAAGTCAATAAGATTGCAAGCCTTTATTTATTGATTTAGGGTTTTAAAACCAGAGGCAAATTAAAAGGGAGAAAAGGGGGGGGGAGGGAAAAAAGAAATGAAATTGTCTTCAGAAATAATTGATTTCAATCACCTGCTTCCCAAGCACAAGGTCCTCCACAGCATACACATTTCTACAGTTCAGATCATTGTTTGAGACACAAAATTAAATGTACACCACATCTGGCACCACTGATCCCCACCTTACTATGTTAATTCCCTGATCTCCAACCCTGACTTTTATGGGTTAAATCTTCAAAGAAAGTTTGAATGAATTAGAAAACCAAGACAAATAGATATCCATGCTTTCATGGATTGCACCTTACTTTATTCAAAGCAGGATTAGTGTTAATATTTAAAGGTTGTTTCAAAAATAAGGAAAGGAAATTACCATAAGTATATTTTCTGAAAGGCGGCAAAAGTTCTGTCCTCGATGTGATATCTAGAGGGGGAGCAAAAATAAAAATCAACATTGTGTTCCCTTACATTTAGCAATTTAGCAATGTACATAAGCACCTGGACCATTATCTTAGACCAGAGGTGTCAAAATGGCAGCCCAGATGCCAGATGTGTCATGCGCATTCCATGCCCACCCCAGCTCCGTGACGGGAAAAATGTCACGAAACATCACATGATGGCAATGTGCCGCCGTTTGACACCCGTGTCTTAGACCAAGAAAAAAATAAGCTGCTTTTCAATACCAGTCAAAGTCCACCAAATCCAATGGAACTCACAAAAGACGTATACATATGGTAGGTAACAATGAGATCTTCTCCCAAAGAGACCAATAGGTGGCAGTACCTAGTCAACTTTCACTGATCTTGAAAGGTTAAACAGGGTCAGAACTCGTTAATACTCAGATGGGAACTCACCAGAAATATCGGCTAAAGAAAGCATCGCCCAAGAAGACATGACAAAACACTCCCATGTCAAGACAACTGGATGGCTGTAAGTATCAGAGATTGGTATCAGGCCGATAAGGATCGTCATATTTTAATAAAGGCATGTCTGATGTCTTGACACTAGCATGGCAATAGCATGAAAGGTTTTTACCATTTTTAGGTTTGGTGGGTTTATTGTTTTTTCACTTTTACACCCAAGACGGGTAGTTCTCATTTAACAACCACTCATTCAATGACTGTTTGAACTTACAACGGTGCTGAATGAGCGGTAGCTACAACCAGCCCTCGTACTGATGATGTACACATAGTTGCAATTTGGAAACCTTTCCTGCTGGTTTCTTCTTCTTTTTTTAATATTTTTTTTATTTTAAATACAAAAAATACAAACAGTTCATATATATCTAAATACAAACAAAAGGAAAAAATACAAATATTACAGTGCGCACACACGCACACAGAGAGACCATTTTTTCCTCTTATATTTCCTCTTCTATAACAACTAAAAGATATACAATATATTCTAATTGTGCCCTTCTTTCCTGCTGGTTTCCAATAAGCACAGTCAATAAGAAAGTCAGCAGGAGGTTGCAAGCCAGAAGCACATAAAAGCCACTAGTATATGAAATGAGAGCCAACCCACTCCCTTCTTGCACCATTCAATGACCCACCTAATCCTTTCTTTACAACAGCAACCAGGACTTGCTAAGTGGTGCAGTCGTGTTGTCTTTCAACTTATGCCCATGTCATTTAACCATGGAATTTCTGATTTCAATTAGCACTGTGGGGTCCTTGGTACCCTCTGAGCTTGGCTGTTTTGTTGCAGACATTTTATTACTCAACTAGATAGCATCATCAGTGCAAGAAGGGAGTGGGTTGGCTCTCATTTCATATACTAGTGGCTTTTACTGTTGGTGAGAGTAGTCTTGGTGTTTCCTTAATTGGGCTGTTCTGGGTTTGACTGGGTTTACTGTTAGCTTGTTTATCTGAATTGTTAGTTCCTTGATTGGGATATTATTTGTTTTTTTGTTAACATTGTTAAACAAGGACTACCTGTAAACATTGTGCAATCCATTCAATGGATTGTAACAATCATATAGACTGAAATTTTATAATTCAGAATCTGATATGACTTTTTAAAAAATTTGTCTGCAACCTTTAAGTCAGTGTTGACTCCTGGTGACTGCCTAGACTGTTTGCCTGCAGTTTTCTTGGCAAAGTTTACCAGAAGTGGTTTGCCATTGCATTTTTCTAAGGCGGAGAAAGAGTGACTGGCCCAAAGTCAATTAACTTCATCCCTAAAAGAAGACCAGAACTCACCATCCCTCTGTTTCTCGCCTGGTGTCTTAATTAAACTGGCTCTCACAATCTCTTAACATATGATACTGTAAAAAAAGTTGCCTTGTAGGTTGATTATCCCTTAGAAAGCATATATTCTGATAGAAATAAAATGTTACTGAGTTTGACTTTTCCAAATCATGGTCCAACAGAAACGCTATAGGAACAAAGGAGATAATATATAAATCAATCAGACAACTGGCCCAACCAACATATACATGACTGATGTCCTGACTGGCTGACTGCAGCACTCTAGTTCTGGGCAGTGGGGGGAGTCAAATAATTTAACAACTGGTTCTCTGCCCTAATGATTTCTTCCAACAACCAGTTCACCAAACTGCTCAGAAACCTAACAACTAGTTCTCCCAAAGTGGTACGAACTGGCTGAATCCCACCACTGGTTCTGGGTTGTTTTTTCCCCTCCAGCTTGCCTAAAAAAGCATTTTGCAGGCAAAAATGTGCATGCTCTAATTCTTCTGCCAGAGAGCTGCCAGAAAATTCCCTTTCTTCCTCCCCTCCCCTCTGTTCTGTCTGCCAATTAGACTTTCAGTGCGCTGGCCAGCAAAGTCAACTTTCACAGCTCCTTACCCTTCTTCACAAACGCAATAAATTCTTTTACAGTCTGGTCCAGGTTAACATTGCGGTACAAAACGGGCCTGAAATTACGATGTTCAAAAGAGCGAATAAGACGAACGGTAACTATCATACTTTCGGATGACATGTGAAATTAACTGCAAATTACCTGGAAGGCAAAAACAAAACAAAACATTTAATTATTGCCTTTGAAAGAGCTGAACTTCTTTGGAAAATAAGAAAATAAGAGATCAACTAAGAGGCATAAAGAGATTTTTAGAAGGTACATAATTATTTCATTCAATTACAGTAATCCTTATTTCAGAAATTTAGAAACATTTGAATACTATTTTGAAAAGAAGCGTTAAAAGCTGCATGAAAAAGTAGCCCTAAAACAGTGATGTTAATAGAAAATTACTCAGTAAATTGTTAGGAATATAGTCTAACAGTTAGGTTGGCAATATATAAATCATATAGCAATGCTGTACCTGTTTCTGTAAAATGTGATTGATTGCTGTTTTCCTCAATTGGCCACAAGAGGGAGCCAGAATGACTGTTAGCTCTTTGTTAGATGCTGGGCTGATCTGATCTGAATGTTTTGGAAGCTGGCTGTTAGAAAGTGAGCTATTGTAAGTTTTGCAACTGCTAGCAAAGTTGTGTACTGGACTGTTTATATAATACTGGACGATGTTATTTGGATTATCCCTTAACTGAAAGACATTGATAACTGACTGTCTTAACCGTGTATGACTTAGAATGTTTGATGGACTCTGATACCCCTATTTCCACGAAAGTAAAAGCCTATTTAAACTGCAGTATCTCTATATGTTGGTTTGTGTGTTCTCCAACACAACTCTCACAATGCCTCGCTGAACGTACTCGCTCTCCCAACGGGGAGCTTATTTAACACTGGTTATGGGCCCAGAGTGTACCAGACGTAGCTAAAGGAGAGTTGGTGTTGATAAGCAATACCGCATACAGACAGCTGTTTATTTAGTGATTGCACTATCCTGGAGAAGATGGAGAGTGACCTATCAACAAGTCTATCGATGATAACCCGGTTGGATGGAACAAACTATGTTTCCTGGTCTATGAAATGCAGTCTACTCCTGCG